CATATACTAACGACAACGACACACACACACATATATATATATATATATATATATATACATATATATAAATGCATTCACACACACAGACACACACATATATATATATATATATACACATATATATACATATATATAAATATATATGTGTGTGTATATATATGTATATATATATATACATCCATATATATATATATATTGTGTGTATATAGTATAGCTTATCGAAAGAGTTGATACGAATTTATATTGTTAGATACATGAACATTGATACACATGTGTATCTATGTATCTATGTATATGCAGGAGCATAGCATCTCATTGTTTCAACCCTTCAATTAATCGCAGAGGATGTTAGCACCGGGGAATTATGCTCAGAATAAACCTATCTGTAAGACCCACAGCTCGGGCAGTTTGGGGTCAAAGATGGAATCCTTCACACTCGATAGTAAGTGGATATAAAACTGCCAATACTCTTTATAATGGGGCAGTTGTATGTGTAAGTGTATGTATGGCACTCGATTGGAAACGTTCATGTGGATTTGAGTGTATATAGCCAAGTATACTGAGGTAGCTAAATATGCGCAAGGACGAGATTGAATCTTGCACACTCACTAATAGGTAGATATGTGACCCTTCGGGTCCATATAGTGGTGAACGCGTGCGCACTTAGTATGTGTGCATGTATGTGCATTATCGATGTGGTTGCGTAAGTGTATGGGTTTATGCGTATATGTGCCTGCAAATGTATACGTATCTATACACATTAGTAGAGTGTTGGCAATTTTGAACATGTGTTGAGCTTGCAAATAGATACTAATACAGAGCGTGTGCCTACGACATATATGGTATGGTAGCTTCCACATATGAAATTATACATCCATTTTTGGGTTTTAGAGTTTTTACCTGTCAAGTGTCTATATATAGCCTCCTAAACTAGATAGGCTACAGTATTATGCGCACCATAATGTAGAGACCCTTTGCATTCGGTCCTACTTGTAATGTATAATTTTTTTAGTAATTTGCGTGCAGGCCAAGTCCGTCTGTTATGTATATGTTCAATCTTATTGAGTGTATTTTTTATTTCAATGTGCCGTGGCATACTCTCCTATTTTGTAGGAAGATCTTCTTGTGGGCATCGTTTGTATTTTATTATTCGTACAGGCATGCAAATTTAAAAAGTTGTATTCATAGACAGATGTGCTCAGTAATACAAATTTGTTATCCATAAATATATATATACAGACACACATATATATATAAAACATATGCATACAGATATCAATGACCAAATATCTCTCCACACATGTACTTATACACACAGCAAAAAAAATCATTGTTACATATACATACATATAAACATATCAATAACCAAACATTGTCGATACAGATGCATATAAATATCAATGAACAAATACCCACTTGGCATCCATACATATACAATATACATATCAATTACTTCAACTCCATACATATACATAGCAATAACCAAACACCCCTCTTTACATCCCTCTATACATATGCATATATACTTATCAATATCTAAACTTCCCTTCAAATAAAATACACGCACACATATATATATATATTTAAAAGATATATATATATACATATACATACTCATATACACCTTAATCGCTAAATATTCCGCCGCCATGCATTCATCACAGGCGACAAAAACTCGCCGCATGACCTTGAACTGTCATGGCTGCTGAACAACGCAGACGGCGGACTGGGAAACAGCGGGGGCTTCCCTGGGCAAGACAACAACACCTATAACACGTACACAAACGCCCAGTCCAACAATAGCAATACCAACAACAACAACAACATAAACAACATCAGTAGCAGTGCTGCGATAAACATCAACAATAGCGGCAGTCAAGGCAACAGTAATGCGCTGGTCAGCAGCACGAGTAGCCAGCCCAACATCGGCGGCGGTCACATGGACCTGAACATGCAGGCCAACGATTTCAGCATGGGCTTTGACCGCAGGAACCTCGACCTGAATGATATGAATGCTAATAACAGTCACAACAACAATAACGGGATGAATACCGGTTCGTTTGGGAACGGGATGACGGGGATGGGCAAGCCCTCACCACGCGATGGCGAGGGTCTGCAAAGGGGTATGATGCCGGGGGTTGGGAGTATGGGTTCAAATCGGTCCGCTTTCAACCGGCCCAGGTGCAAGAGTGCGGGGTCCGTAGGAGATCCTTCGCGGAATAGGGACTTTAGTAGCCGGCATGGGATGCTGCCCACGATATCGTCACAACTCGAGGATAGCGTGCTGCTGAATAGCGGGTCCAAAAAACGGGCCGAACTTAGGAGGCTCGGGCAATGGGGCAGGCGGAATGGGTATGCAAGGTGGTAGTGGAAGGGGGATGAATGCGCAGAACAGTGCGAGTAATGATGTGACGGCTGTGGTGACCATGAATATCGATGACTTGGATTTGGGAGACGCGCTCAAGGCGTTAGAGAGCAGGTTACAGATGTAGTGGAGGGCGGTTGCATAGGGTATATTCACACATAATAAAAATGTATATGTATATATATATTTATATGTATATGTATATATATATTTATATGTATATATATATATACATATATATATACATATACATATATATATATATACATATTCACACATTATAATAAGTATATATATATGTATATTTTGTGCGTATATATATATATATATATACGTATATATATATATATATATATATATATTATTTACTTTACTATA